GCAAACGGAATTTCTTTATCAGACAGCATAAATATTATTTATGATCGCCAACAGTCAACTGTGAACGCGCGACTGCAGAGAAGCGTAAGATATGCCGTTACAATGTGTTTGAAGTGTTACTTTGTGAGAGTTGCTTAGCTCGGGACATATTTGAAAATATGTGAGCATACTCGTATATATACATATGTATGTAAATATAGCACTAACCTTATTTTATTCACACCAAGTATCTCTGGTATTTCGTAGAGCCAAAATTTTTCAGCTTAGTTCGATTCGGTTTTTGGTACACATTCAAAGGACCTGATCCAGTTCTGCGTCTATAAACTTCAGTTGTTTGGCTCAAAAAAGCGAACAGCTTATAATTATATAGACACTTTTAAAACCCTGACATCTTTTTTGGCACTATAAGGGATTCTAAGGGATCATGGTCGAATCCCTCAATAATATTTTTTCGACTTATGGCTACAATCGAAACACCAACTGAAGGACTGATCATATCCAATTGAGGCTTGAGACCAGCCGCATTAACATAGTTTAGTTCGGGTAATATTTTTGCAGAGTTTTAGAACATTCAGCTCCATCACGGAATGTTTGCAGCAATGGACACTGGAGGAACACCTCAGCTCTTGAAACACCAACAACACGTGGCATAACACAATGTTACTTTGAGGTAGTGTTGATAGTGGAAAGACTAAAAACTTTCTATTTCTAAGCAAAAGGGAACTTAGTAATATTGTAGGGGTCATCACAGGGCACATATCCTTGAGATCGAGCCTTCAGACAATTGGAAAAGTAGATCCGACGAAGAACAAGCGCGAAGGATGATAAGATGCTGGCCCATTATTTAAGCGAATGCCCAGCCTTCAGTCGGATGAGACGGGATATATTCCACGGTGCTCAAAGTTAGGAGACATTAGGCAGCTGGGGTGGAAAAAGTTCAGATGTTTTACAAAATCCACTGAGTTTTTGGATAAAGCTTAATTTGCTTACCACCCGAAAGGACACGCCTCACGCGCCTCGTTTTTCAACTAAACAACCAATACTTTCCCGGCTTTAGATCTACGTTCCATACAAAGGATACCTTGAACTTATATTTTAGAGAGCATTGACGTACCCTAGCAGCAGCAGACTCTTATAAAAGTAAATAGGTCTACAAGTGTGAATAATGTACCCATTCTCCATACATTTTTGATCTAGGAAAGCAAGGCCCCTGCATATCTCAAGTATTTGGTGGTATATATATATGGGATATGTATCTGAAAATTCAAAAGATTACCACGTATCACAACGTTTATTGCCGATAAAATGTGACAGAAGCTTAAGACAAGCTATTAAATATAATGAATTCGAAAGTGTAGAACTTTCTCAGTTTCAAATCAGAACAGTTTTTAAAGACCACTCTTTTTGGATTTATCTGATTCTGTCGTTAAAATTTGTTTACTCTTAATGTCCGTTGGGAAGATATATAAACTTTACAGTTCTTCTCCGTCAATATGTCAAGCGAAAACGGCCGTGATAAAATCGCGGTGAGGCAGCCAAGTCAAAATTAACGGTTAGATTTTGCTATGTGTTTGATGAGTTTGACAGAGAATCATCTAGTAACATATGGGCTACACCTCTACGTCCATGACTCTTAATTCGGACCGACACGACAACAATTGAAACGTCTGAAGCAAGCAATCGCCAATAGGCGTTCAGCTTTGCGCAATTGAAGAGAAATTGTGTTCCACATAGGACAACGCCAGGTCAAATACATCGCTGGTCTGGACTCGTTAGAAGCTTCGGCAGCTTGGTTGGTAATTGTACTTAAGCATGCATCTTCAAAATAGCAAAAATATATCAAACGGTCTAAGGCTTGGCTTTGAGTGTAGAGCTGTGCTGCAGCTGGATTTCGTACCAAAGGCTCTCCGATTGTCAGTCAAACGCACAACCCAAGCATTTGTGTGATCGCCTGACTTGTAGAAATATAGAAAATCATAAATATTATATATATTTCGCTACAAACATACATACACGTTATTAAATGCTTACAACCACTACAAAAAATATGCGCTCACAACAGACATGCAATACTTTCGAAAGAATTTCAATTCCAACTTAATAATAGGAAAAAAGACAGTGCTGAAGGCGCTAAAGGAGGCGCTGAAGAGTGACTAAAAGACAACGCATTGAAGTTGGAACAGCAGAAGCATGAACAAACGAGAGCTAGCGTTGTTGTTGGCAGCATGAAATAATAAAAAATTATACGGCAGCATTTATACGTGTATCTACTAGTATGTGTGTATGTATTGTATATATATTTTTATTAAAAATATATAAAAATATTATTTTCGGCTACCATAAAAGGCAAAACATACTACTATACTCGTTGTTGTTGTGCTGCTAAAAATATTGCTGATAATTTTTACAGCCAACAATTTAATGAGCAACCGCAGCATGTGCTGCCTTGCTTTAAACGCCTAAAAATATGCCAACAAAATATGTTATGCGCCGCTGGCAAGCGTGTATATAGAAATTAGATTTATGTGCAAGTGTCTACAAATTCGCTACACCTGCTTACGCCGCTGCCCACATACAAAGCAGTAAATATGTGACATTTGTAAGTGAGTTTTTTAGAATAGCAACTTTTTTCCAATTCAACTTCTTTTTTGACGCTTTCCAAATTTATGGCCACTGCAGAAACTTCGCCTGCTAAGAGTGTGTGTGAGTGTCGCTATGTGTACGCAATAGCACACTGCTCCGCTACGGCGCCTAAAAGTATGTCTTGCTACGCTAGAATCGTGGATTTGTGTGTGTGTTTGTAAGGTTATGTTTATTTTTGTCACTGTGTCTGTGCGTGTGTGTGTTTGTGAATCATGGTATGTGTGCTTTTACAGTTATGCGCAGCATCCATATTGCTTTTCCACTTTAATTCAATCATTCTGCCGGTGAAATGTATTGAGTATAAAACATTTCCAGCATTCACAACTCATTTCAGCACAAAAGCGTCACAACAACAAAACAACAACAATTGTGGTAAATTGTCGGCTGTCAAGCGGTCAAATAGACAATCACGAACAAATGTCAAATGTCATGTCAAACGCGAACGCGAAATGCATACACACATATTTACAATCAATTCACTTACATATGTATATATGTATGCATATGCATATATAAACATACATACATATATACACAACAAAAGCTTTCCGAAAAGAAACTTCGCTAATTTTTAACAAATTTTCTTATGTTCTTTTTATAAGTTTAGTAGCTATATTTTTGCACGATATGCTCTGCTGTAATAAGTGAGCTCCATTTGTTGATTTGCTTTGTTGCCGTTGAACGGCGGCAGGCGTGTGACAGTGAAGTATCGTGAGACTCGAAGATGTCAAAGTGATTACGAAAATTAACAAAATGAAAATACAAACATGAATGAAAGATGTTCAAATGCGCCTCAGCGTGATTGAATTGATATTGCTTTACTTTTTGCGTGCAATAAAAATAAGCTAACAACACCAATATGTGCAATTTATAAAAGAAAACATTCTTGGACATTTCAGCAGCATTCAACAACATTTCTACAGAATCTATTCTGCGTAGTATAAAGTCAAGAGCTGTTGATCCTGCTATACAACGTTGCATAAAAAGCCACTTGATCACTAAAAAGATAAGAGCAGAATGGAATGACGCTGGAATGAACAAGGAAGCCTGTAAGGGCACTCCGGGTGGTGGAGTGCTATCACCGCTCCGATGAACATTAGTGGTGCATAAACTGCTAAGACAGCAAAGCCTCTAAGATATTGACATCTTAATAACAGGTAGATGTCTACACACCATTAGCAGTATTATGACCAGCACTTTCAATACAGTACAGAATTCGAATCACAAGCAGGTCTGCGGTTGAATCTATAGAAAACGGATATGCTTCTGTTCACAAGAAAATAGATATTTCTTCCATGGAAGCTCCCGTCTATAAATGGAACACAACTTTCTCTCTCAAGGACCGCACGAAGTACCTTGGGGTATTGACACCTACCGGAAGTATGTGTGTGCATAAGTGGAGCTCTAGGAACCACTCCAACGCGCGGCTTCTGAATGATGACTACTTCTTATAAGCAACGTAACGGCACACCAAAGCTATAATACGCTTCACAGGTGCATTTCTTATAGCATAACAGGGTATAAAAAGATCTTAATCTTGATTTTTATCCTCCTAAAAAGACTGAAGTTACCATACCCAAATCGGTTCCGTCCGCATTTTGCGCCTGAGAACGGTGCTAAAGCGTGATCGTTGACCTAGACAGACGTGTTCACATAAAAAAATGTCACCAGCTCGTTGTTTAAACACATCCTTTCAACCTTTAGCAATGAGACTAGAAAACCCTGAGCTTTAGTGGACTTTAGTTGCTGAAAGAATACACTACTATCTCTCTGCTATGCATACTATAAAAGTAAAAGTACTGAGATCTCCTGTAACTCCTGTCTATCATATATTTGTCGCAGACATCTGGCAGTTGGGTACATAACTCTTTAACAGAAGAATTTTGAACATAGCTAGACGATTTTCATCAAATACCTCAGCGTAAAATACATAAAACAGAATTATTTTGGTAAGAAAGTCGCTCCTACGCGATGAATATTAATTAAACTCAACTTAGTGGTTCAAAGATCGATGAATTTCAGGTGAGATTCTAGGTCCAATAAAAGCACACGGTACTCGAGTAATATAACCCTTTAGGTACTTAAAATTCCGAAGACACTAGCGGCAGTCAAAGCACAAACGTGTAGAGAAATATTAGTCGGTTAAAATCTTGTACAGTTGAATGAGTGCCAAAAATTTTCCAGAATATCTATCGTTATATTTAACTCTAATTAACGGCTTGAATCTTGATTCATAACTTCATTCTAGACAAATATTAAAACGGCATCTAGATGAAGGGTTTCTGATATTTACATAACGGAACAAGCTAATTACAAATCACTGTCATAGCTGAATAAGCCGCTTCTATTATCAACTACAATGTTTCACTTTATAACAGCTGGCCTCGCCCACATGTTCAAATAGTTGTTAACCAACAATATTTGCGTTTTGATTACAATCGCTGGAAAATCAAATACGCTTGCCAGCCAAGCAAACATAAACGATATTTGGATTAAACTCGTCGGCATACAAAACGTATTAAATAAAAGCAACGCTCATAGGTGCACTTGCAGTCAGTCTAAAACCTTCGTCTACTCAAAATGCAACACTGCAAGTTTCTAGTATGTCTCACCGCATTGGTCAACAACTACAGCCTTGTCATCGACTTTGTAACATATAGGCACAGTGTGAATCCTTTGGAAGGCATAATAATCTTTGAAACGAAAGAATTCGCTAGCGATGGCATAATACAAGAGCTGCATCAGCGTCTACATATACCGCAGGTTATTGTGAAAAATGTGACAACACCAAATATAAAAAAATTTATGAGTATGAAAAGCATCGCTTTGATCTTCATGGAAAGGCTTGACAAATCGCATACATGGACATTAGTTGCTGAAAGTTTACATCATCATTCCTACATACCGATGATTTTTCTTAGCCAAACTGTACCACGGCTGGATGAACAGTTAAGATTCTTCAACTATTTCAGACAACAAAATATGCTCAATACGGTTATGTTGTTTCGCATGAATAACACACTGATGGTACGCACGGCTATAGCTTACCCTAAAACGCAGATAATCGCTGTGGATCCCAGTAACTTCAGTGGTTTTGTCTGGCCAAAATATCGGAATGTGTTCGGTTATAATTTTCAGTTGAGCTATTTCAACGATACGCCGATAGTTTACAAACAAGTGGTAAGTACGTGCAGCAGACTCTTAAGCTAAGCACATATTGTGAGAGACGAACCAAAAAAGTGATTGGAGAGAAGAACGGAGCAGCGGTGTTAGAAGAAAAATTTGACGAAGTCACACCCACTTTTGGGTAACTTATGTATATATTTCTCATAAGCTGCTGGATGTAACTCAGTCGGATGTATTAAGACCAAGTGTATCTAACATACGGCTTCAACGATTCTTAGCTATTTCTTTCTGATATTTAGCGCATTCTTACGGGTTCTTGGTTCGATTTTATTACACGCTCCACAATGTGTTTAGCTTTAGACTTCAAACATTTAAATAATACATCATTCTACATTTAATCTGCTTTGCTCATAGACGAACAATCGCACTGAACTGCGTGGTCTTATTGGGAATGTGCTAAACATCCTCATGAAACGTATAAATGGCACTTTCACAGTATTTGATTTACCAATGAATGAATCTATGATGGATATGATCGATATGACAGCCAATCTAGTCTCACGTACCGATCTAATTCATCCTGCCATGGAACGTAGCTATCCGGTATTTCAAACAAAGGCTTGCATAATGGTACCCTTCGAATCTGGTATACCGTTGAGTTGGTATCTCTTGTATCCTTTCGATAGTCTCACATGGCAACTACTTGGTTTTCATTTTATTTTAATCGTTTTATTATTCATCGTCATTCATCGCAATTATAGACATAGTTGCGATCTTGTGCAACATGTATTATTCGTGTTGAAATTATTTCTTGCACAACCGGTGTTTCTGCCCGGTATTAGAAGCGTCACAAGAGGTGTGTTTCTTATATATTTCGGTGGACTTTTCGTAGTTATCGTGAGTGTATATGAGGGTAGTTTGACTTCGCTGTTTAGTACTCACGTTCGCATGCCAGCAGTTCGCACGCCTGAGGATCTGCTAAAAACCGATTTAAAGATTGCTATTGCAAACATCGAAAGAGAGCTTTATTTCGCGGCCAAATTATTGCCGGCATCACTCGAGTCGCGTGTATATAATATTGGAGATTTCTCAGCAATTGAGTCTTTGAATGGCAGTATTTCCTTTGCCTATATAATGACCAGTCATAAGTGGTTGTGGTATGAGAAGCGACAAAAGCATTTAGAAATTCCAGTGTTTCGTATCACCACCGGAAATTTGTGTACGCCCAACATACTACAGTGTTTTGCACTGCAAAAGCATTCGCCTTTCGAAAGAATGTTAAAAATGATCTCTCTCGAATTGCAAGAATTTGGTTTTGTTAATCATTGGTTGGCGCAAGTAAGTCCTGCGGCCAAATTTCAGCTAAGCAACGAGACTGGTATGACTCAGGTGCCTTTGAGCTTGGCACATTTTACATTGGGATTCCATATATTGTTTGTGGGTTGGCTTCTAGCATTGTTTGCTTTTGTGGTCGAGTTGATCATTTGGAAACGGCAAGAGATCTTCGCTTCGAGCATCATTTTACGGCTGAGAAATGCTTGGAGGCATGAAGTGGAAATATAAAAGGCAAGAATAGCGAATAAGGGTTACCGAACTGATGAAGTATACAAAGGGGAAAGGGGGGCAATAATGCGATGGGTGGGAAAGATATGTATATAAATGAAAGAGAGGATGGGAAAAGGAAGTGATAGCAAGTAAAGTTTAGGATAATAATGGAGAAAAATGATAAAAGGATATATATACATATGGATCATGTAAAGAAAGATGTAGAAAAAATAAAAGAGAAAATATAAAAAAAAAATCAGCAAACGATGGCAAGAGAAGTGGAAAAATATGGAGAGAAAAATAAATGAATAGTCAGCAGCGAAAATTAAAAATAGTAAGGTATGAAATAAAGAATTAGACAGAAAGGGAGAGTTTTTCGATCATTTATTATTTTTTAATTTTTTTTTTTAATTAAAATCACATCCCAGCAGTAATGTTTGTTTCAATCAAACTGATAAATTAAAAAACGTTGGAAAAAATATATTTCATTTAAAGATTTTAGAAACTCAACAACAACTTTATTTAAAAAATTCAAACATTTTTTTATTCCACACTTGCGAAAATTTTGAAAAAAAAAAATGGTTCAAATTAATGATTACAAACTCAAAATAAGAATATATATATAAGTTTTAAGTACTTGTAGTTGTTTTAAAAAAAATTTATTTTGTGTTTGAAAAAAATTTTGATTTTTATATCTAAATTTTTTTGTAATTTTTAATTACAAATAAAAAAATTTAATTTTAATTTAAAATTTATAATTTTTTATTCAAATCTTTTATTAAACATTTTTTTATTTAATATTTACAAAAGTAAATAAAATTTTAAATTTTGGATAATTTTCTATTTAGTTAATTGGTTGAAAATGCTTTTACATTTTTTATAGTTTTATTAGATTTAATTTTGATAAAAAAAATTGTATAAGAAGAAATTTTTCAAAGCAGCATTTTGAAAAAACAAAAAATGATTTTAAATTTTTATTACTTAAAAAAGTATTAATTTTATAAGTACGTATAAAGTTATTGCAAAACTAAAACAAAAAAAATATGTCAAATTTTAACAGAACTCGAAGATAATGTAGTAACAAAAAAATATTATATACAATTTTAGTTAAATAAGTATATTAAAATTTTTAAGAAAACTATTATATAGAAAGTAACTATTTTATAAGGGATTAGCTATATTTTAGTGATGTTCAAAAATTCCTGAATATCTTTGTATAATTACATGTACTGCTCTCACTGTATGTATTTGTGTGTGTAAATTTATAAATAAACGTAAATAAATAAATAAATAATTAATAGTATTTTGTTTATTAATTTTTGTATGCAATGACAACGAGAAAATTATTAAAAAAAAAAAATATCACACATATGAAAAAAATATTTTATTTAACAGCTGAATAAATTTTGCAAGTATTAATATATATTATAATATATATATTAGTATATATATTTTATTTAGATATTTTTTTATTGTAATAAAATTCAAAAATTGTAATAAAATTTAAAAAAATTAAAAAATAAATGTGAAACCATAAATGTCTCACTTAAGAAAAAAGTTTAATTAATTTATAAAACGATTTTCAAACAATACAAAATATTTTCATAAAAAAATTAAAAATTAGTTTTTGAGAAATATAGAAATATTTTTGCAAAATATTTCACAAAATATTATATACTAATCATTTTTTATTTAGATATTTTTAATTTGATTCGCACATTTTTTAAATAAAAGGGATTTAAGAATATTTTTATTTAAAAAAAATTACAAAGAAATTTTAAAAAAATTCAGTTATAATTTTCCAACATATTTAAATTTTACAGTTTTGAACATGGCTCTATTCTTAAACTAGTCGATAGGCTGAAGTACTTGGGACTTCATGGCTAGAAAGCTCACATGGAAGCCAAGCATCGAGGAGAAATTGAGGAAGGCATCGGTCGCATTATTCTACTGTAAATACTTAGCAATTAGGAAGAGGTGGGGCACTAGGGTGAAAACAAACAATAGCACTCAATGCCATCTTACAAGTTGCACCTGTAGACAAGCTGAGTATATGAGACACATTGAATTTCTGTACTACTTCAATTGCATCCTTACAATCGAGAGCACTACATCGCGCAGCCTTCACCTAGCGATAGGAGGTGGAGCAATAGGAAGTGTAGTCTTCTATCAGGAGCTCTCCATCAACTCTAATTTCAGGCTACCCGACCACTGTAGGGTCTTTCAAGCGTAAGAGTGCAGCCTTCTTCAGAGAGGTGTGCATTCACACCTATATTGGCTTTGAGATCGCTGACTGTGCGCTCAAAACTAGTAAATTAGAGCATGACCTTATTAGCAACTGCTTCAAACTTTTTCCATATTAGACTTGTTTGGGTGCCCGATCACAGCGGAATCGCCGGAAACTGCAAAGTCGATGAGCCTGCTACGCAGGACACCCTTACGCCAGTTTCAACCGAATGGTATCAAATCGGTTGTTCGATGTCCTCTTGCGTTCTAGCTCTGGACTTATGTACCTCCCATGAGCTTGGCAGGCGCTGATCGACTTTTACCAGACTGAGATTGAAATATATCGGTACACACACCTTTGTTGAACCTAGAGAAGTGGCTGGGATTGATATTAAGATCTGTAATGATCTGCTGATGCACTTTAAGGATTTTTGATAACACAAAGAACAAATATCGACGCACGTGAATTAATACGAGTTTTATTTTGCATCAACCCTACGACCTAACCTAACCTAATATGAACAAAAATGTAATTCAAATTTTGACGGAAATTAAACAAAAACAACATTTGAATACAATTGAAATCCACTCATAATCACAATTAGAATAAAATACAATACAACCACAATACAATTACTGTCATAACCATATTTTCTTTGACACGCTCGTTCTTTTAGTCAATACTAATGTCAGCAAGTCAACAAATAAAAATGCAATTCTAATATTTATTTTATATTTCGGATATATATTCTACACATATATAAATGTCATATACCTACATCCAATATAACAGTTCAACTTCCGAAATATCATCATAACCGATTTTCCAAGCCATAAACTTATAAAAATGTCAGCCTCATACGTCCAAGCAAAGTAAGGCGATAACCTAAAGCGAGAGCTGCCATTATCAGCGCACTTGGGAATGTGAATGTGTGTGTGAACGTGAATATGTGTTCATGTTTGTATGTGTGTGTGTGTGTGTGTGACAGTCATAACAGGCAGCTGTAACGCTTCATATAATGTTGCCTTCATATCGCCAAAGGAAAAATATAAAAACAAATAAGCAACGAATGGCAACACCAACTCAGCTGTCAAATGAAATATTCATGATGATTGCTAAGCTCTAAGATATTCAGGTAAACCTCGCATGCAAACGGATACGTCAACATGGGAAGCTGAAAATTTGTTGTTGGATTAAGCGAATTGAGCATTGCTGGAGAATTAAAGAACTTAAATATGAAAGTGTGTATTGGAGCAAGTGTAGGCGATAAAATTTCGAAATAATACAAGTATTGTGTTGCTATAGCTTGCGTAAGGGCAAGCGCCTACAAATATGCAACAAAATGCTTAAAATCAGCTCATTTTACATTTGAAAAGTCTTTCAGTAAAGAAAACTAAGCTGTAATTTCTAAGCAGTGGCGCCTTAGATATTTGAGTGCTTTTTCCCAGTATACTGTCTCTAGAGACAAGTTTATGTTACGTTTCAAATTGCCACGCAGCATTACTTCTGAAGATTGCTTAATATCTTTCCTTCAATGCGCCTAAGCAATGCACAGTCTCTCGAAACTGGTATTACAGGTTAGTTGTAGCAGCATATAATATTCTCCAAATACTATAGTTGCGGTCTACTTTTGATGACATTAGGCCAGCTACATGCCGGTTATATAGATTCGACAAACTTCGCGTTCTAATGGGGGAATTATTATTATTTTTTTTTATGTTTTGGTGAACTCTTTTCGCTTCTCTGTTTAGCATTTTAAGATAGCGACAAATTGTGGTAAGGCTAAATTGTGGTAAGGCTAATAAAAGTTTTATGATAACGCACGTTTGGCATAGAGTTAGTTTATAGAATGTTTTGGCTGTCTACTGGACTGAGGTAACATTACTTACTTGTGAAAAGACTCGAAGCTCAAATCTCTCTTGTAAATACTGAAATAATTTGCAGTATAAGCAGTAATGGGTGAGAGCAATAACGAAAGAAATATGTTCAACATACCTATATGGTACACAGTTCCTGGGTATAATTCAGGAAAATTATTATACGAACCTCATCAACGTCTGTGTAATCTATTTTCTTATATATTTTATCGAATTTACTTTATAAAAGAGTGCAGTACATATTCTATCGATTTTTCTTAGCTGATTGAGTTTAGTTTGTGAGTCGAAACTCTGCTACAATTATACCTACATATAAAAAATTTGTGTCGTGACCAGGCTAGGGTTCGACAACTATCAATGAAGGAAATGTTTTAGACATTTACCGTGCGCTATGTTTTCGAAGAAGAAAGTTAATTTGACCATGTATGTATGTCTGTCCGTCCTTCTAAATATAGGCGAAATAGTCGCTCAGTTTTTGAGATATCGATCTGAAGTTTTGCACTTATGCTTTTCTTGCCAAGATGCGGCTCATTTGTCGTAACCGCTGAAATCCGACCACTATAAGGTATAGCTGCCATACAAACTGATCAAACAGAACCAAGACTTTGTAGGAAAAATTTTTTTAATTGACAAGATACATGTTCACGAAATTTGGCATGGATTATTATTCAAAAAAAGGCTACAATTTCCGTAGAAATAATTCAAATCGGAATATTAAAGCGTGTAGCTGCAATACAAATTAACGAATCAAAATCAAGTTCTATATGGAAAAATTTTTTATTTGACAAATTATTATCAAGAAATTCGACACAGATTATTTGCGAAGACATGGCTACAATCTCCAAACATATTGTTCCGACTTAGTTTGCCTGCCGCCAAAGTTAACGTTTTTTCTCAAAAAGCGTTACGAAAATTTTTCTCGCGCGCGAAAGTGAATGCCTCAGAAATTACAAATATATGCTCCATCTGCGCTTCGCAAATATTTTCACCAACAAGGTGTTGTACTATATGTAATTTGTATGAATAATCGATGCATAAGCAAAAAGTAGCACGTTCTGCACGAAATCACTGTCTCTCAACGGTGTATATAAAAATAATTTTGTTAACCAATTTTATTTTTTTTTAAACTGTCTCTACGTCGACCTTCGCAAGCATTTTTAAGTGGCTTATTGCGCAACCGAATAGCATAATATCAGTGCAGCCACTTTGAAATACAACAAACAGCAACTGTCCGATATTTTTTTTTTGACTTGTGCAATTGCCAAGCACTTTAGGGCGAACGAAATCATGTGGAAAATGGATGTGTGTGTAGAAATGTAAACAACGTAAAAGAAAATGAAAAAGCGCATACAGTTTCAATGGTGCGAAGTTGAAATTTTATTTAATGTGTTTAAGGCTACGAGG